GACCAAAACAATTCCCTAATAACAGTAATAATATTATGTGCATGGCCACGTGTGCAAACTGCATAACCGTTGCTTATAACGATTGTACTTATAACTATCGGCATAAGGTGTAGAGTGCCAAGAATTCAACATTACGACCATTAAGTACCTACCTATCTCGTTACAAGGGAATATAGGCAAATTAAATTTGCAAACAGCACGAACTTTCAATTGTGGACAAAGTCACAGAACTTAATGTTTGAAAGAATAGTTTCAAAGCGAAAATCGAAAATAGTCTTGGAAATATAACTTTTGTTTTTGATCTGACAGCTGTTACTTTAATAGAGAGATTAAGAGGATTAGGTGTGGTGATAATAGATTAATAGAAATCCTTTACTTATTATTCACAATAATGGTTGTTTCAATAAAGATTTCATATGCTGTAAAAATAGTAGGGCTGCTATACGTTAACGATCTAGTAGGTAGGCTATTGTGTTTGCATGAAATAATCTTAAAATAATCATATTTCAATGTTACGTAACAAAAAATCTGCAAACTTAACAGAAACAATTGATGAAGTTATTAGAAACACACCATATGCAATATTGTGGATGACATAAAACTGTGATTGCGTTTCGGGATCATAGATCGAGAGCGAGTAAATGTCAACTGCAGTAGTATTAATAGAGGCGCGCGCGCAGCTCCAACCGCATGCCGCGGCGCGCAGTGAGTCACCCGGTCAGACGTCTGCCGGGACACCCGCCGCACGCACCACGCACACTCACTCCGATACTAAATAATCGAGAACAGAAAACCCACAAATTATTATTACAGAAATAATATAAAACAGCAGCAACAAAAATTGAAAATGTTTTTTTTTTAAACTTATTAAGGAACAAATGTGCTGTGTCCATTTATGTGGAGCAGGTAACTAATCAAAATATTTTAAAATGTTTTTGAAAAATCCTAAATAATTTGTAGCCTTTGGATCTAATATTCAATAATCTGTTTCTTGATGTGACTGGAAAAATGGTTAGTTCAAAAATTTTGAAACAATACCCTTTTTTAATCTACTTTTAACTTGAATACAATGTTCTAGAAAGTTAACCTTCTGTTCCTTTCGTTTATGTTCCACTCACGATACGACATAATTATACACTGCCGACCGAATATTCGATCGCTCAGTCAGCGTTCCAAATAGAATTCGCAGTTAGAAATGTATTTATAGCACAACAGAAAGAAATATTTGATGTTCAAATGTTTGATAGCTGTATTGTTGTCATTTTTTGCGGTTTAGAGGTGTGTCTTATGAAAGGAACTTTTTTTCAAAATACGAATATACCAGTTTCACCTTTGTGCTCATAGGACTACGTATGTTTGTATTGTGTACCCAAAACATCCCATTTATATTGGTTTTACTTTCGCTATTTGATCATTCACTTTTATATTGGCTCATTGAATCATCATCGATGTTTGCACACATGTTTCGAACTCTTCGATTTGTTTAACTGTCAATATGTTTGTCGATAATTTGCTTTACGCGCCACCTTAGACCTTTATTTGAACTGAATTATGAGGTCAACAATTTCTAGACTTCCAGGTCAAGTAAGCTCATCATTGTCACCTGTCAAAAATAAGTACGGTGAAATTCTAATTAGCATGTCGAACAATTTCAGATTGGGAGAAAGCTTTGTACTGCGAGATTAGTTTATTAAAATAATTACTACTTTTTTATTTTACGAGCCTCAATAAACTTGTAGCGAGGATATGTAAGAAAGACGTGAGTCTTAATTAAGTGGCGTTTAAGGAAATAAACCGAACGTAAAAATGTAAATGAAATTGTGTGGCGTCCAATTACTGTAGCATGGCATACAGTCTGGGATCGCGGTTGTGATCACCTCGCCGATGCTCTTAATTAACATTTAGCGCTACCGTATTCGCTCACAAGACGTTGCTTGAATCGACCGTTTTCCCGAGTCCCGTTATACCTCTCGTTACCACACTCCAGTTTTATTCTGGAAATGAATATAAAAGTTATAAACATGCTAAAGCAGTGTGCACTTCACGGCCAAGATCTTAATAAGCCTTGCCATACAAGCGGCGTTCCAATCTCAAACCAGTAGCAATAACATCATTCACAGTATTGTACTATGGAATAGGATACCTTTTTCGGGCGTGTACTTGCATTGCGAATGGAAGACCGTTCAGTCTTGTTACAAATTTAACCTAGATTTATGGTATGAGGTGCTATCGGTGCAGAGTAATGTGGCTGCGGATCACCTTGAACTGCCTAGCTATCAGTGTTCAAGTGAAAGTACTCGTTAGTATAATTGGTAAGACTCAAGCTGCATGTTTATTTTGCACGAATTGATAAGGGTTTTCAGATTCTGCAATACTTGTCTGAGTACGCTTTACAGTAAGAGGGCCAGTTTTGTTAATGAAGTTATGGTGCAGTTTTCTTTATTTACAAACTGTATGTAATAGACACACGCATGGTTCATCAGTTTTACTTTATTTTAGATCTGAAAAGACGTTTCCAGAAATTTGTTAAAAATTGGCTGGCTTGTAATTAAAGAAAAGGTATTGTTTTCTGAAGTAGGTAGGCCGATGATGGCTAACAGCTAATAAATTGTAACATACATACATAACTTCACGCTTGTCCTCCATGGGGGTAGGCAGAGACTAGGGAACGCCAATTACTACAATTCCTATATACCTCTTTCGCTTCATCAACAGACATTAATATTTTCATGCGTGCTCATCGGTTAAGGGTACTATTAAAATATTATAAAAAATATTTATATTTGATCAATAAAGGATGCTCAACCAGGAGAGTGCATATATCTAAAAGGAAAGTTCGACAACCTTGATAGATAGCCGTGAAATCGCAATTAACATACATCGATTGTTTTGAGCTGGTTCATTGAATCTAGGCACACATCACAACGCCCCTCGCTTCTGACCCGACAGGCTTCAGAGAACACAAACACCTACTGCTACACATGACTGGCATTAAAACCATGTGAGCACCAGAAGCTTTATAATAAATCTATTGAAATGACATATTTATAGTATTCTTGCTAACATTCGCTGGAGAAGCAAATCTCAATAAAACGTGAAGTTGATGAGATGTGACACTTTATAATCCATTTTACGGTTTATGATCTGTATTGAGGCGAAGTCTCGGAACTGATTCTAATCAGAGATACATGATCGATCTGCTGTTTGATGTCGGTTTGCTTATTGATAGAATCAGGTCTAAACGAGCTATTTATTATTTGTAGCTCAACAGTTTATATTCGATAGTATTTCTTATTAAGTATCTTAATATTGCCGGTCCATAGTTCTAGGTTATAAATATTTGTTCGACCTATTGCTTGTGTTCGATAAGATTTCTATAATGTAAACATGGAGGTATGAGTCAACTAGGGAAATGAATGGGTTAGCTTTAGTTTTTGTAGGCGGAATAGCTGCTTGATACTTAGTTGTTGTGTGCAATTAGGATTTACGGTATTACTAGGTGTGTTGTTCCAAAACTGTTGTGGGTCGGTTAGCCTAGTCTGCATATAGCTCTGCGTTCCTGCCGCGTCAATAGAACACGAGGAAGTGGTACTTGTTTTGTATTGTTGCGAGGGCGACTATTTGTCAACACTAAACTCCACAATGATCTTTGAATTTTGAAGTAGTGGTGAAATAAGACAAATATAAGCAATATTTCTTAGATTTTATAATATTTCGAAATTAAAAATATTTCTAAATATACTTCTGCACTCACGTAGGTGTATTTTCTCGAAGTGTATATTTCTTTCATTACTGTCATTGCGACCTGCGTTCAGTCCTATAAGTTGTCTATTCTTTTCGAGTGCAGGATTTCTAAACGGAAGAGTTTCTTTTTCAAATATTGTCGACTGCACCCTCTTTATAGAGTTCTCTACATATTCTATTTAATCACGTAACATTATACTAGTACGTGTCATATTAGTTTAGAATTACACATACGTTTATCATGTTTCATTGTGCGTACGGCTTTGATTTATACTTATAACAGCATACCTATAGGTACGTAATTGTAATATATTCAACCTATTTAAAAGATAATAAGGTATGAAGCGACAAAATTAGCAATGGGGTGATGGTACAGCAGAACACATTACCTCACCGACGTTACTATTTTCATGGATGCTGTAAAGGCGCCCATTCGATAGAGACCAGACAGTAGCGCCCTCTGCAAAACTACTCCTACTAAGCTGTCATTTTCATTCCTGCTACAAACTGCAAGTCCTATGACGTATTGATGATTATTCAAAAAGAAACTGAATTAGCTTTCAGAACTGTTAGGTAAACAACGAATTTTACGATAGATGGCAATTTTACGATAGATGGCAGTTACTACGCATAAAGAACAGCTACAGTTAGTATATATTCAAGGTGTTGTTTATTCGAAATTACAAATTTTATGAAGAGGGCCTTATACGTAATATGCTATATTAATTTTATGGTCAAAAAGATAATTTAAGATCATTTCGTTATTCATATCAATTATGTTTTACATAGGTATTGAAATTATAGTAATTTGGTCGGTATTCCTTGATTTATAATTAAACGAATATTCTTTAATAATAGGGGTAATAAACGACGTAAGCCTCATACAAACCCGTGATTATATTCAAATAAATAAGAATACCAATAAAACATTGATTGTTAATCTGTTTCTCGTCTTTGCTGTTAATTGCTGGCTAGTTGACCAATAACTTTACTACACCTTTAGCCCTTTGTCTACTTTCCCTCTAATTGAAGCTTGTAGTTATAAATTCATTGAGGGACACAAATTTTGTAACACCCTACCGAGTGGCTGCTAATTGCTGCTTTCTCTGTTACCAACTTGTATTTCAATTAATCTGTATGTTTTATCTTGTTCGATAAAGTTTGAACTAAAAGTGCAATCAAATACACGTTCGTTTAGTTTACCGGTAATGTGTGAACTGTTGGCCAGTTGGTTTATTATGTTTATTTTGTTTCAGCCGTGGTGGTTCGTTATTTAACGAAGCGGTACATTGGCGAGTACAGCTCAACTGGCGGTGAGTATATTTAGAATCACTTCATACTATGTGAATGAGGTTTGTTTATATAAATTCGGTGCAGAATTGTTTACATATTCATTGCACTATCGCCGTTGAGAAACTTCTATTCATGAATAGGATTTGTGACTTACGCATCAAAAACACGTTTTGTAGAAACTCAATAGGATCATAAAACTGATGTAGATTTTTTTTTTGATATTAAACAGAACCGGTATGACACAGTTTCTATCTGATAAACACCCCTATTGTGTATTAAGGTCATTATAACAGTAATATAGTTTTCACTGGCACTTCTCCTAGTTCAGATCACCTAGTTGATATGTGAAGAGTGTCAGTGTTAAACGCAAGACAGAAATACCAATGAACATGAGCCCTTACAGAGGGCACTCACAAATGCCAGGCATTGAGTGCCAATGGACGGTTTATTTGCGATATTGGCAAGATGCAGCGCCGGAGTGCCAAGGCTGAGCGACGCCGGCGCCGGTCTATAGGCCGTCGACCTTTGGAGCATATTACATTATTTTGAAGTTTTAAAAACAAAAATACAAAAGCTATTTTAATCAGCTACAATTATGCGCAACATTGTCTGAAAAGATGTCTCTTCGGAACACCTTTATCATTGCGTCCTTAAATATTATCATAATTTCAGCAGATTGTTTTATCAGCACCTAAATCTTTGCGTTCTCGAAATCCCAATCAATTGATTTATTGCGTATTTTTTGTGCCTATATCAGTGACACTTAATAATTCATTTGGCGTATCGAGCGAGTGCGTTATTGGTTGTAACCTAGATCTGTGTGACTGATAGCATCTTTCAGAAAGTCAATACATTACGAGGTCGGTATTGAGACCGGGTCGAGTATTGATTGTTGTGCAAAGTCAAATAAAGACTTTGTTTCAGATTTCCTGTATCAACATCGGGTGGCGTTCGACGGCGCCACGTCTGAAGTGGAAGTCTTAGATACGTGCGGGTGCGCCGTGAGTGTCTTATCTCTGCTGATATCATGGCTAATAGAATACGCACCTCGAGCATGAACAAACATAAACATTTGCCGCTTGTGTCGATACTTTCTACATTTCATTTTATAATCGTTTTCCAAACACTTCGATGTGTTGGTAAATGTTAATGTTTCTCATAAGTCATCGAATCGTGCGTGCGTGACTCAAATGATAATGAAATAGCATGAGTAATAGATATGATGGCTTAATATTTCCTTAATCGAATTATGATAATTCTAATAGGGATCTTAATTTGTTTTGTTCAGAAACGAGGATGTTTAGCAGAACACCTACGGTGGGGGGATGCCTTTGCAGTAGTGTACTCGGTGTGTGACAGACGGTCATTCATTGCTGCTGGAGAACTGCTGGCTTTACTGGAGAGGACCAGACTTCCAGGCTGCACCGCTGTCACTCTGCTCGGCAACAAACGTGACCTGGAACATGCCAGGTGATTACTATACAGTTATTATGTCATGGAAATTGATAACTACCAATTTAATCAAAAGGGCAAGTAAATCATAAGGCTCTTTGATAAATTACTGGTAGCCACTGTAATGTCCTTAAATTTATTATGTAAATTAACAAGTTTTTGACTTTTTATCATAATTGTTTGTAATCATAGTACCTATGATCGTGTAAAATGTTGTCATATAAAGGAAGATTTATTTATCCAACAGAGTTGTCAAAGCGGAAGAGGGTCAAGAGCTGTCGTTGCGGTTTGGTTGTCAGTTCTACGAGGTGTCGGCGGCGGAGTCGTGCGCGGGCGCAGCACTCGCGTTCCACGCGCTGCTGCGGGAGGCGCGCGCGCTGGCGCTCTTGTTGCCCGCCCCCAGGCGAAAGCTCGCTGCCTACTCTGTCTCTAAAGTGAGTATTTATCAGTGTAATTTAGCACCCTGATTAATGCTGACAATGTTCTGTTCTACATCAGATAAACGTTACAAGTGTGTTGCCAATCTTTTAGGGGTGGGAAATTGGGGATTGCAATGGGGGGGGGGGCTGGCCTTAATCATACGACGAAACACAATTAATACCGATATTCTGTGAGGCTGCAGTATGACTCGGGTAGAAGCATGCTCTCCCACGTAAAAATTAAATTTGATTCAGTATTTAAAATAATTTACCCTTTCACAGGTAATCGGCACAATCCTCGGTTTGAGCAACAAAAGCGTCAGGAAGAAACGGCCATCATTGAGCATATGATCTGTCGGTCCATGCAGTACTGGATCTTGTTCACTCCGTGACAGGAGTTTTTGTTTTTTTTTCTGTAGCAATACAGAAACGTTGTTATCTCTGTCGATATGGATCGAGGAGATTTGTCTGCCGGGCCAGGAACGGAACTAAGGTGGATTTACGATGGCTACTAGAAGAGTAAGAAGGATAATGGCTACGTGGGAATATGGTCCTTATGTTGACTACTTAGTAGTTATTGTTGTACAGTGTATATTGTTATCTACATATTTTATATTTGAGTGGAATACACCCTTTGAAGATTACCTATACTTGTTGTAAAGTTTAAGTAATAAATACATAAAGTTTTTCTGCACCCTTTTAGACTGTGGAGTGGCCTTGAAATGTTAATAAACTGATATTTAATAAATGTTCTCGTAATTATAGACAGGATTATCTTAATCGTATAACTAAGTATCTTAAGTAATATTCGAACTGTATACTTATTTAAATGATTATTAAAAAGACATTCAAAATATCTTGAACTTTAGTTTTGTGTTATTGCAATTGTGGTATAAACTGAGGGCTACCTTTCAAAATAATGCGAAACACATGTAAAAGTATTCTTAGATTAAATCCTAACGTTTGTATATTTTGGTGTTATTCCTAAAATTGTAGGCTTCATAAGATTTCATAAAATATTCGTTGTACATATTTACGTTGCAATGTATTTTGTTCAGTGTGTCTATACAAATAAGTATTAATTTCCATTGGTTGAGTATATTTCGTTGTAGTACATAATATACATAAGACTGTCCTGAGTATTGTGTGTTTACGAAACATTTGTCCCCTTTAATAAATATTGTATGTTAATATAATGATGTGCCAATTTATCTCATATGAAATGATCGAATATTTATTGATACTAATAAAAATATTTATCGATATCTTGTCTTTTATTTACTGTAATCAAGACAATAGTAGCTATCTTCTATGTATATAGGTACTATTACCTACATACATAATATGATTGAAGATACGAACTCGATTTTGAAGTAAAAGTTAAGCTAAATTAACAAAGCTTGATTGGTTAAAAGTATTTGAAAGCATTATGAACATTAAAAGGGGGACAAAATACTTATATTTTTCTATTTTATTTATTTACATTTGGCTATGAAAAACCCATATTAACACAGTTAAACTATACTACAATATACGACTGCACGGTTGGTGCGGTGGCTGGGCAACCGGCTGCCGTGCAACGTGTCGCGGGTTCGATTCCCATACGGGACAACACTTTGTGTGATCCACAAATTGTTGTTTCGGGTCTGGGTGTCTTTGTGTATGTGAACTTGTATGTTTGTAAACGCACCCACGACACAGGTGAAAATCCTAGAGTGGGGCAACGTTTAAAAGAGAAAAAAAAAAAAAAAAAATAAAACATAAAATACTATAAATACATAATTATACAAGTTATTAATTTAAATCGTTGTAACACAAGATGTGACGACGGTGTCGTGTTACGCTGCTCGGGACAAGTAACCGGTCTCGTAAACATCAGTATATGACACCCTTCGGCCAAAACTCTGCCTGGAGGAATTTATCGAGATTTTGAGTTGGATCTCGCACCACAAACGACTTGAATATTGTATGTAGAAGCTACAATTTGTTCAGGATATAAAGGCCTTAGTTAACTAAGGGAACCTGAAATTCTGCCTGAAATAGTATGAACATGTCCTAATTGTTGAACAGCCCCTTATTTTAAAATGAAGGCCTACCACTAGGTTCTCTGCAATCTACAAATTTTGCAACAGTCATAATTTTGTACAGTTTTAAAATCAGTCGCTGGTACGCCATAGTGCGGCTGAGGCATCAACAGCAGACTTTCAATTCTACCACCAAAATTACCAGTTAAGTTATAATTCCAATATTAAAGAAGGGAATCTATTAGTCACATCTCGGTTGGACATAACTAAAGATAAAAGTATTTAACATATAAAAATTCTTTACGATAATACGAAGCTCCATCTCAATAAAGAAAGAACTCAATAAGCACTGCAGACAAATTATTACTTCGTTACTGACTGCAGAGAAAATTGAGAGTCGAATGAACGAGAAAATATTTCTTTTTCATATATTAGATGGGACCGATGTTTGCTTTAAAACTGTATGCTATAAATAAATTTAAGTTTTGTCTAATGTCAGTGTCAATTTCATACATAAAAATGTATTTTCACTCCTTTGACTAGAGCTTAAATTCTATTAGTCTGGGGCGTTTACATCGGCTTGCTAATAAGCAGTCCAAGGAAGTTATTAACAATCATAATAATTTCAAATTCACTTCCACATATCGTATACTTACTGATATCAGGTAACAGGTGTGGTAATATGTACTTATGGGCCTTATGACACCAAGCCCATAGAAAGGGAAATCTGGAGACCACATCATTTAGACAATTTTATTGCCCACACTACTTTTACTTGCAAATGTACGTATCAATATTAGATGTACTTAAGGTTACGAACCAACTCGATTTAAAAGTTGATACATACTTTGAAGTTGATCTAATTAGTTTTCTATTACTACCAAGTGCAACAAGAAATAGCATATATTCAGTATGTGCGTATTTTATTTCTCGAAGGGGTATGCAGATTGCACTTAGGTACATTTTTATTTTACAAAATTTCATATCCTTTATTACTTTTAAGATCAAGGAGACATGCTTTACACATTAAGCACTTTATAAAACCTCATGTTTATAGGTCCTCTTATAAAAGAGGTTCTAATAAACTAAAAATAGCAATCGATAGCCACTAAAAAGGTTTTAAGAAGCGATACATAGTAATAGAATTGATTTATAGGCTATGTGCTAGTTCATTTATTATTTTATATTAACTACTTCGTAAGTGATTGCTATTCAGTATGCACATAGATAGACAAGAGTATCGGCATACTAAGTAGTTACTTACAATGTAACAATCCGGTTGGACAAATTATATTTTCAATATAAGTATAGACTGTCGATAAGGGTTAAGTTATTGGCATCTGTATGCAATTTTGTTATAATGGATGCTGTGTTCGCTAGAAGAAACAGCGGTTAATTTTGATGCATTAAGATTTTTCGTACGATTTGGTTATTGTTAAGTAAAGTACAAGGTCGTCTCTAAAAGTTTGATAACTACTCCATAATTATAGTATTTTCCTTCCAGAAGTGTTTTCTTACGCTTTTTAAGTGTCCCACACTTTGAGCCCTGTTTCGGCACGAATGGGCCGGCTCGATCGGTGTGATACCACGGCCTCACAGAAAACTGACGTGAAACAATGCTTGCGTTTTATTTTGTCGTGTAAGTGAGGCAACCGGAGGTCCAATTACCCTCCAAGATCTTCCAAATCCCTGAATCCCCAACAATCCTCAAATTCCTAATCTCCAAAAGGCCAGTAACGCACTTGTAATGCCTTTGGTGTACCGGGTGTACATAGGCGACGCCGATTGCTTACCATCAGGTGATCCGTCTGCTCGTTTACCGGCAAATCCCAAAAGAAAATTTAAAAGTGTTTAGGTTACAATTTCGCAATACACTTTGAAGTCAATGTAACAAAATAAAATAGAGAGCTGCAAATTCGAAAATGTTATTGATATCTTTTTGTACATGTAAAGGTATAATATACTATGATAAAATTAACTATCTACGTACATGTTGCACACCTATCTGTTATCTTAAAGTTAACCTTTAACCCCAACTTAAGTTTAACAACTTTGCCAGATGATAACCAAGTCATATATTTCTGATTTCTTTTTCTGTCATAGATAAGATATGCATTTCTTTCTATGTGAATAAAAAATAGTGAATAAGAAATAGTGTTTCATGCTGACCCATGGGAAATACAAGATTAAGTTGTTTTAAAGTGCTTTATGAATATTTACACGTTGTTTATATTTTATTTTGACATGAACATGTTGTGTGATTCTGAGTACCCGGCTATTTATAGCGTCATGTCTTAAGGGCTTGATTATAGTCGTAGAAGGGTAACAATCGCATCAGGTCTATGCGACTTTTTTGACGGGGTAAAATCAACGAATGACTCCTTCCGCGCTGGGTAAGATGAGAAGAACATGGGAAACTCATCCATTGCAGATACTCTTGCAACGACTCGAACAGTACGAAAAAATACACACAGCATTAGGCGAACAGAACGACAAAATACTTTAGGAAAATAATCCATGTAACCTTCGGAGCATCACTATGATACCACCATATTATAAGTATTAACCAGTCACACTATTTTTATTACAATTCACAAGAAAATATAAAGATTGAAACAAAATGGAGTAGGTCGATCGGATGTCATGTCATGTAGATATTGAAACACTAGTCTCAAATAATCTAGTTGATACGCTCCAATCCAATTTCCTTGAAATACTTAACGCTCTTCTCACAGTTCCGTGCAGTGACTGTTACTTTGTTTTGTTTATGAAATCATTTTAAAGGAGTTTTAGGATGATAAAGTATAAGAAAGGGAATGTCAGAACCCATTAGAGTAGAGAAAAGGAAAGTCGTTTAAATATAAAAATATCAAAACTATTATTTTCCCAATTCCAAGAAGGAAGGAACTCTACGAAACAGTAACGTCATTCTACTAACATGCAAAACTAAATGTTTGCAAGCACGCGATCTGCATTGGAAACTGAAGCTATCCGCATATACGACGGACGCTAGTGTACAAGCATGCTAACGAATGATTAGCTTATCGACAGAGCCATGTCGTGTAGCGGCCGTGCCTTCAGTCACCTCGCCTTAACAAGCATAAATTTAAACAAATGTCCCCGGCCAGCCGCCATGACAGCTATAATGGTAACTTACCCGTACGTCGACGCCTTTCACCGCTCAATAAAGATCCACTTTTCTATAAAACATGAATCTCGTATTGAAGCGAAACCCACGTCGTGTAACACGCCGATACATGGAAATATTACGCTTAATTATAATTTTTATAGCGAATAAATTGATGTTGAAACCGAACAGGCTTCATA